CTTTTCAAAAAAAAAAAAAAAAAAAAAAAAAAAAAAAAAAAAAAAAGATGCTTTTCCCTACCACATCACCACCTTGTCTTAGAGCACCTACCCCTAGTTGGCTGAGAGAACACAAGCCTATTAATGACTACCTTTTCTTTTTTTCAATAAAAGTATTTCACAAACATGGAGATAAAATAAAATATAGAAAAATACATCCACCAATCCAGCTTCCCAGAGGCCACTGTCCAGTGCTTATTTTCAGGAACCATCCATACACAGGCATACTTATGACTAACACTTTTTATTTGGGACTAGGCCTCTTATATGCTGTGTGTATTCTACCACTGAGCTCTACCTCCCTCCATACCCCATGACTGACTTTTAAATGAATACAAATAAGAACATACTCCATTGTTCTGTAAGTCATTCTATTCAGCTAAGTAATACTGGCCAACCTTCCATATCAGCCTAAATACAGAGACCTACCACACTGACTTTTATAGCCATGTAGTATTCCACAGTATGAAATGACCCATTCATTCACTTCCATTTCTTTGCACACTTAAAAAGGGGTGATGCCGTGAGCATCTTGGTATATGCTTTTTTGTGAACCTTTATGAGTACACATAGAATAAGTTCCTAGTAGTACAATTTGTTTGTGACCAAATACATGCTCCTTTTACATTTTGACATTGCCACATTTCAGAAAATAATGTACAATTTACACTCTCCAATCAACAGGCACATCGTGGTAAGGAAACACAAAAATAGCAAGCCAGCAAGATTAGAGGCACCCAAGGAATCCACTGAGAATAGCATTACACTGGCCTGTTGTGTGTAGGGTGGCACCAGTGGTGTCCTCCTGTTCAGACCTGTAGAAGCTGGTGGCCCATGGGTGCCCTGAGTCATGGGAGAGTGGAACCCCCAGAGGAATTGAGAATGAAGGGCAGGCCGGTGTGGCTGGGGTCCTGCCTGAATGGTTTCCAGAAGCCATTGTTTCTGTCCTGTCTGGTCTCCTTGATTGGAGTTGATTCAGGATTTGAGGGGAAGAGGCTGTGCAGCAGGAGGTGTACAGCTCTCACCACAGGCATCCAGGAATGTGTCACAGGAAGGAGAGAAAGAGGAAGGGGGGAACCCATCCCTGGGACGTCAAGAACCCCTGACTAATGAATAGCGAATGTGCCCTTGAACCTCACTGGGCTTCAGTATTCTCAGGCACAGAACAAGAGCAGAGACACATCTGAGCCCAGCTGCACAAGGATCGCAGTGGTTCATCTCAGACACTTTGACAGGCCGAGCCTTTTCCCTGCATAGCTCTGATTTGCCTCCAGGCTCCCCTGGCAACAGCAGAGCAGCATGGCTCCAGGGTCCAGGCCCTGCCTGCTGTGAACAGGAGGAGGGAGGAAAAGGAGCACCAAGGGGAAGACAGCTGGGGAGAGGGCTTCGTTAATTCCTAGGAAGATGGAGTCCCTTCCTTTGGCAACTTCCCAGTGAGCTGTCCTGTCCTTTGAGGTGGAAATACCAGTGGTGAAGTCTCCATTTGCCAGGGGCCTGAGCAGAGTGTTCCATAGCACAACAGACCCAGAACAGGCCTGAAAAGGGTGTGGCCTGGGTAGAAATGATGCAGGAGATGTTAGGCTGGCCAGCAAGTCAAGGACAAAGGCCCACTGAAAGTGTTGGGGCATATTTCCCCTGGTCTCCTGCCAAGTCCCTGATGGCAGGATTGCACTTGATCCTGCAGTTTCAGGATTGGTGGTTACTGAGTCTTCCTTTCCTGCTCAGCTCTTCTGATTCTGAGAGAGCTTGGCTCTGTATTCCAATCCTGTGACCTTGGCAGGAGTCACTGTTCTTTCTCCATTTCCATAAAAGCTGTAAGAGTCTGGCCCATCACTTTCTTTCACAGGATAATCTAGAAGACAAGAGAAATAGTACATGAGAAGCTCTGTACTCTGGGGAGGCAGGTGTCCTATAAATCTCATTCAGGTATTATTAGGGCTGAAACTAGGCATTTTTGCTCCCTGGGGAAGGAGGGCAGTGGGCAGGGGAGGAGCTTCTTCAAGGTTGTTTCAGGACCTCCCCAGCAAGGGAGTCCTGAAACTGGGAAGTCAGGACTCATGACTATGGCCTTTGAAGCCTCTGGGTACAGGTGGGATTAGAAAATTTTAAAAAATGAGCCTACAATTTGAAGGTATTTTCTCTATATTATTTCTATGTCTTTGTATGATTTTAAGAAAGGTGTGATTATTCCTATTTATTATTGTTATTATTATTATTATTATTATTATTATTATTATTGATCTGAAGATAGAACCTCAGGTCTTGAGCATGCTAGGCAAGCTCTTTACCACTGAGCTACATCCTCCTTCCTTCCTCATTTCAGAAATAAGGAAACAGTAGCTCAGGGAGGTTATGCCCTGGCTTAAGGATACTCCAGTCATAAAAGGATCTTGGGTCCATGTCCTCTGGACTTCATGGACATATGCATTTCAGCAGTCTTCTGGCTGTCAGTGCTAGGGTGAGGGAACAGGCACTAAGAAGTGGTACCCTCAGGGATCACTCAGGATTTGGAACTTTTAAGTCTAAGGACCCTAGCCCAGGGAAAGACCCAAAGGCACTGCAAACCTTTCCTGAAGCCACTAGGACACTGTTCAGAGCATATTTGACTAGAAGAGAAGGTGAATCCAGACTCAGGTGGGAAGCACACCTAGCTAAGACATATGTTCTCTGGTCCAAGCCTTTGCTCCAGGACAGGCCCCTTCCCAGTCCCATGTCACAGGTCAGCAGTGAGGCAGACTTCTGTTTTTTTTGTTTTGTTTTGTTTGTTTGTTTTTGGTTTTTTTTTTTTTTTTTTTTTTTTTTTTTGCTGACCTGGAACTGTAGCCTCTGGATAAAGGTATCTCCCTGTCTCCCCAGGGAAGCTTGAAGGAGACAAAGCTGGCTGAGTTTCCTAAAAGTCAGAGAGCTGGAGGTAAGGTGACTGGCAGGTAACAAAGTAGAAAAAGTAAGAAGAATTCCAAAATTATAAAATGTAGGGGCTAAGAAACTGCAGACACCATCATATCCAGTGTTCCTTTTCCATGTCCAGAAAGGTAAGAGGCTTGCCCAAGACTAATCAGCAGGACAGCGGGCTAGGAGGCCAACTCTCTGACTGACAGGTAAGTGGGGCTGGTTTTCTTATGCCCCTGTTTCTTTACTGGGCTACCTTGTACCTTTCACTGAAAGGTAAAGATTTTGCCCAGTAAGGAAAAAAGAAAACTCAACAGAAGAAGCCACTGCCGTCAAAGTCACAAGTCCTTGATGGAGGGGGCTTCCAAAAGCCTGGGGCTGTGGACAGATGCTGCCTTAAGGCCAGAAGCTTTCTTCAGTGACAGAACATGAAGCAACCTCCAGCATCACACTCTCAGACAACAGGAACCATCAACCTCTCCTAGAGGAAGAAAGGGAGGCGTGAGGAGGTGGATCAGAAAGAGGATCACATGCTTCCCCTTGGCCCACAATACTTTTAAGAAGGGACACAAGGAGAGAGAGAGGTCCGGGAGAAGCTCATTCCTACAGAGACTGGGCAGGTTTGCAGTCAGCACAGAGCCTGGAACTCACAGCCCTCACTCAGATCAGACAGGGTACCCCATTCCAGGCAGACCTGACCCACTGAGAATGCAAAGGCTATCCTGGGTTCCAGCATCCTGCAATCTTGTCAGAAACTGCCCCAAGGATGGTTTGTATGCTTGCTGATGAACAGACACATATGTGATAGACCAGGGGGACACAAAGACAAATGGACTTATTTTGGCTCAGCTGTGCCCTCTTCAGTAGGCTGCTGGTTCTGGTCTATGTACCCAGGCTGTAGTGGTAATTAATACTCTCAGTATCACCACTGTCTCCATCCCCTGCAACCACAATCACATTGAATGACCTCAAGAAGCTAAACTACCTCTTACCTCTCCTGTACCTAGAGAAAAGAGAGGAGGGGAAAGTGCCCCTATGCAGCATTTCCTGTGTGCCTGGACCTGTTCACAGCAACTCCAAGGTAGCGGCTATTCTCACATCACAGATGAGGTTATAGAGGCTCCGGAACATTCAGGAATCCAATTGCTCACTGATCCAGGGTTAGGTGTTTACACATAGCTAGCCAAGGTTTTACCTACCTGGTGGATCAGAAGTCCCCAGAACTACTTGGGCGAGCATTCAGCAATCTTACCTGTTTCTAAACTCCCTGGGTTTCCTCAGAGGTGCTTAGTCTAACATGCGATGCATACTGTCTAGCACACTCAATTGTAGAACAAATCTCTTCCCCCTGACCAGCTCTGACAGCATTTCCTGGCTGACCAGGGGAATGACTACATGAAGCATACAGGTACTACTTCTAATTGGGATTGGAAGCCAGAGGATTTAGGGGCTGGAATAAGGTTGAGGGCAACTGCCAAACAATAAAGCCCTAGCTACACAGAAAGGACTGGAACACCTCAATCTTGAGAAGTTTCCTTCTGAGGAACAAAGAACAAGGTGATGCCCTGCTACATGCAGGGCCTGTGTCCCAGCTTCCACTGTGCACTACCCACTCTGGGGGAAGCCGCGCTTGGAATGTGATTCCCCAGCTTTGTCATGATACTTGGTGATGCTCCATTAGCAGAGTGTGACTCCTAAGATCCCCTGTCACCTCCTAAAGCCTCTGCCAGCCGGGCCTCCCAGCACCACACTGATCACCAGATTAAGGAGCTCAGAGCTACAGCTGAGGCAGCAGCTGAGGCAGCTAAGAGAGGGGTACGGTGGGGAGGGCAGTGGGCAGCTCCCCCAAGGCTCTGCCACCCTGCCTTTTTCCCACCCCATCTACAGGCACTTTGCTCACTGGGTCTGACTTCCGCTCTTCTTCACTAATCTTTGGACTATACCACCAGACTCCCCCTGAGTGGGGAAGCCCAGAGAAACAGGGGAGGGGGTTGGGAGATAGAGATGACAAGTGGGGAACTGGCTGGAGCAGTTCAATGAGGGGAGAAAGGCCCAGGTCCTCACCTGTTGGCCTCATAGTCACCTAAGACCAATCACAGAGCTCCTGTGGGTTTCTGGCCAGCTGCCTGCATCCCACCACATCTGAGAAGATAGAGGGAGTACTAGAGATGAGGGAGGCTGGCAAAAAAGAACAAAAGAAGGAACAGGGCATTTGGATGTTTTCTGAAAGACCTAAGCATTTCTGGATCCAAGGATACACAGTGATCAAGTTCCTGTCTTGTCTGTATGGGTTACTAAGCCAGTAAAGAATGGAATGATTGGCTTGGTTCATTTGTGACAAAAACTCAGCAGAAAGAAACTGGGAGTTTGGGCACATGACTTTTTTTAACTCAGTAATCCTAGGCTTGGCTCTTCAATAGCCCAGAGGCTATGACACAAGGCTAAAAGAAATGAGACCAGCAAAAAGCTTAGAGTCAGATTCCCAAACACTTACACTTAGATGAGAGAAGCAAGGCCACATCCCTGTCCCTCACTTCCTAGGATTCCTGTGGGGCTACAGAGGGGTAGACACTCTGAAGGCATAACTTGGGAAGTTGCTAGGAGACCTGGGTAAGCTTAGCCAGGCAGGTATCTAGTTCTTCTCAGTCCAGTTCCCCATCCCAGGGCCTGTAGGGGGCGACTAGGACATGCCCAGGGTCCCAACCAGCAGCTGTTCTCCCTCCAGCTCCTCCTGTGTGGCCATTTCCAAGCTCCCCTCTGCTGGGCTGGGGTCATGTCCCACCACTGTGGCATAAGGGCCAGAGAGAACTTGGGAGGGGACTCTGTGAGATCCTGGGAGACAGGCTCTGCCCACTCTTGATCCTCTAGCTGGTCTGAAAACACAAGCCTACACTTGGGTGTCAACAATAATCAAATCCTACCTTCTATATCCCTACCTCCACTCAGAATTCACTGGTCCCACTTTTGTCATTGTGTTAAATCAACACAAGCTTGCATTGAACACAATGCAGATTTTCTGAACTAGAGGGGAACCAAAAATTCCTGAAGTTCAATTCAGTCATCTAGGTACTGAGATCAGGAGTCAGGGAAACTTGTGCTGCCCAAGGTCACGTAGTAAGCCAGTGGCAGGGGCATGACTGTGCCTGTCTACCAGCCTATTACAAGGGCCTAAAAGGGGCTTCTCCACCATATCCCAGACAAGATCCTGTCCTGCTATGGACCACAGGGGTCTGGGGACAGAGGAGGCTGTAATGCGATAAGCAGACTGGCCATCTGGCTCTGGGATGGAGAAGAGCCCAGACTGGTCGCTTCTGCTGCCTGGTCTCAAGGGGCCCTATGTCACAAGAGACAGATTGCCAGATGGACAGACTGCTTAGGCCTAGGTCTGGGTAGAAGCCAATGTAGTCAGAGCTGACCAACTTTCAGGGGTAGGGGCAAGAGTAGAGGAGGGACAAAGAGCAAGGCCTGGCTCCCCACTGGACAGAGACAGAACAACAGGATGGGGAAGCAGGGATTCCCCATCCAGGGCCAGAGCCTACTCCCCAGGTAGGCCTAGCCCACCCCAGCGCAGGGCAGCTCCATAGCCTCCAGCCTGCTGACAGGCTACACAGGACCCCCTCCTGGGTAGGGGAAAGGCAAACACATCTCCCCTGGCACCTTCTCAGACATGCATGCAAAACTAATTAACATGGGGAGACATGCGAGCAGCCGGCCAGCTCCACACCCTTGAGTCCATGCAGACAAGGCGAGCCCTTGTCCGGGGGACCTGCACAAAGCTTTGTTGCTAATTTAGGCATCTGTCTCTGTCTGGTCTGGTCCTCCTGCCTGCACTGGGGTTTTTCCCAGCCCCTTGGACAATGCTGGGAACAGGCCCGCAGATCCCTTATTCAAATCACACGCGGGACAATGAGCTCATTGTGCAGCCCACAGAAAGGAGGATTGGGGGGGTAGTGTGTAAGGGGCAGGGGGAGTAGAGAAGGGTGGGGGTGTATGTGAAGAAAATAGGAAGCCAGTAAAGTGTTTACTAACATAGCCCCTGCAGCTGCCTTGGGCCCCTTACCCCTCCCTTGCTTGGCTAGGAGCTGGAGAGAAGTTTTGGGACTCAGAGGTGGGGGCCCCAGAATGGATGAAGGGCCTTGTGTCTACTAGCATAGCAGATACACACTTTGACTCTAGCCTTCGTTCTGGTGGTCTCTTCTTCCTTCAACAGCTACATCTTCGTGTGTAAGGGCAGGCTTTTTTTTTTTTTTTTAGAATGACTTGGGGGTTCTTTTTTTTTTTAACTCAGGTTTAGCCTAATGTGCAGCCTCAGGGGGGGGGTACTGGGGGCTGGGTGGGGGGGGTTTTCTTTCTTAACTCAGGTTTAGCCTAATGTGCAGACTCAGGGGAGAGGTACTGGTGGCTGTGTGGGGTGGGACCTGCTGTCCTGGCCATTGTCTTCAGGCAACATTTCATTTTCTCCTCCTTCCCAACTAATAAATTAGAGGGGTGGTGATCTGCGAAGGGACAGACTCCCCACGGACAGTGGCAGGCGGGAAGGCAACTCTGTGAGCTCTCAGCAGATGGGACTCACCCAGCCAGGCAACTGCTCACACTATACCTGGCCAGACACTTGAATGCATCCTTACTCAATGACCAACATGAAAAAGCCCTAGCAACCCTCTATCTGTATATGTATACAGGTACATATATACCAGCATCCTGATGCCCCTGAGGGGGAAAGCTGGGGCTTTGAAATATCTCCCTCTTATCAACACCGCTCCCAGTTCCTTGTTGCACTGGGCACGCCAAGACAGGCCGACATAAATAGACACACACAGCCTGACACTGACATGCAGACACAAAAAGAAACACACACACCCAGAGGCGGCTGTAGACATACACTGACAATGGTGTAATGAATGCTAGATGGCAAGTGCATTCAGTCAGAAGCTCCTGTGGCTGGCCGCCCAGACCTGGGGTGACCAAAAGGTTATGAAGTGTCTGGAGTCAGGACTCCAGCACCCTCCTTCCTGTACCTCCATCCAGTCTCCTAGGATGGCTATTGGCTACACAGGAGGGGAAGTAATATAACACTTCGCCATCTAGATAGAAGCAAATGCCTCTGAGACAGGAAAGTTTTCAACTGGTCTAGCCCTTGGTCAGGGATGGCTGAGCTAGCCCAGAGACTTTTCTTCTTTTATTAATAATGAAAAAAGGGTACTAAAAAGTCATTTTTTTCTCTTCTGTTTGTTTTTGTTTTGGTTTGTTTTTGGAGGCAGGATCTCATGTAGTACTAGCTGGCTTTGAACTCTTCATCTTCTGCCTCTGTCTCCCAAATAGATCATAGACATGAACCACTACACCTGGCCTTCAAAAGTCATCTTAATTGTCCTGTATCTCAAGACAGCATGTCCTGAAGTTGGGGCAAAGTGGAACTTTGCTAGGGTAGCTTTCTCTTTCAGTACAATGTCAGATGGCAGCTCCCTACTGTTAAAATAATTCTAAAAAGAGCACCAAAGGATGAAAAGGAACATAAATGGTTAATATGTGCTTCTGGGGATTCCTCTCTACCATCCTACTGATGGAAAAGTATGAGTTTGAACCAAATGAATAGCCAATATTTCACTGTTCTTGACCAACAAAAAAGAAATTTCATATGGGTCAACCTAGCAAGCAACAGTCTCCATAAGAGGGTAACATTACTTTTTATTTTATTCTATTTTGAGCGGACTTATTAGTTGCCCAAACTGACCATGAACTCTTGGGTTCTAGCATTCCTCCTGCCTCAGTCACTGGAACAGTTAGGGCCTGAAGATATATGTCCCCACACCTGGCTTCCCCATTTCAATGTCTTACTCAAAATGGGCTGTGCTTTTTTTTTCCAAAGAAGAAAAAAAAATAATAGTAATCTGAGGCTGAAATCTTCCTTGGACCTTCCATCTATAACCACATCAATATACCATGAAGAAAGGTTGAACAGCTGCTAAGAACTGTGAATGCACACATGACAGCCTGTGTTGGAATGGGACCCACCTTTTTATTCTTGTCACCAGAATTCTTTCTCTTTCGCTTCTTCTGACCCTGGAGCATGTCCTGGAAGAAAGATAAGGCACATGAGAGGGAGAACAGAAGGCAGATAGGACAACTGTGTACCTGCTTCTCCAGCATCTGTGTGCCACTCTGCCCTGGAAGAAGCATTGCCCAGCAGCCTGAAGCATGTGCTGTTAACTGGTTTTCATATGTAAACCCAAGGCAAGTCTCTGTGCATGTGACATTAACTCAGTAAACTTCCTCCAAGACAGCTAAGCAAGGGAAACAAGGGAGCCAAGACCACCCAGGGCAGGGGAGACCCACTTGCTTTTTGTGTCTGAACAACCCCTTGCCCTGTTGTTCATCATACAGAATTCAGAGTACATTCTGTCTTTCTGGGAAAGCACCCTCACTGGCCACTGGGGTTTCCCAAGTGAAAAACACAAATTTCAGAAACAGTCCAGCACGGCTTGTCTCACCAGCTGCTTCTCATTTGTCACAGAAGAAAGCCTATCTCATGTATGTTTATCTTGCCCATCAGCCACAGCTAGACAGGCCATAATTAAGCCAAGGGCAGGACACTTCCCTTCATGGTCTTCTGGTGACCAAGGACCTGGGGTTTCATTCAAAGATTTAGAACCACTTTTCATGCAGCCAGGAATGGCACCATCCCTCCTATATGCTTGACAATCACCCTATAAGATCTAAGAGTTTTATCTTATTGATACATACACATCAACTTCAATAAGTTCACCAGAGTAGTAGTAACAAGAAGAAGCCTATTTTCCCTTATGTTATTGGAAGGCAAGCAGCAGAAAAAGCCCACAATCGGAGATACAGGACTGATGCATTTGCAGGGCTGGGTCACAACCCGGCTGTGTGGAGAGAAGGTAGCCAAGTGCTCATCACTGCTAACTTACATGGAAGCCCATCTGCCAGGAACTCAGGGTCCAATATGAGGCGAACCAGGGTAGAATTCTGAACTTGGAACTCCAAACAAGCTTCTGACTTCTTCTAAGGAGGAGAAAACTATCCATTAATTCCTCTAAGCATAATTTATTATTATTTAATTGCATTTAAGATGTTTACTACTAGTCTCATACATACATCTCAAGTTATTGATATTCTGATTCTTTTTTTTTTTTCTTTTGGTCTTTGTGAGACAGCTAGCCTGAAACTCACTAGGTAGACCAGGCTGGCCTCAAACTCACAGAGATCCGCCTGCCTCTGCCTCTTGAGGGCTGGGATTAAAGGCATGCACCACCATGCTCAGCTTTCTGATTCTTTTTTTAAGTATTTACTTTATTTAAATGGGGTGGTGTGTGTGTGTGTGTGTGTGTGTGTGTGTGTGTGTGTGTCCCTGTGAGTGTAGGCTTCTGCAGAGGCCAGAGGAATGTGTTGGATCACCTAGAACTAAAGGTAGTTGTAAGCTGCCTGATGTGGGTGCTGGGAAACAAACTTGGATCCTCTGCTACAGCAGTACATGCTCTTTAGAGCTAAGCCATCTCTCAAGCCTCACCCCCTTTTTTGATATAGGGTCTTCCTGTAGCTCCAGCTGGCCTGGAATGTATTATGTACACCAGGTTGGCCTTGGTCTCACAGAGATTCACCTGCCTCCCCGCTCCCAAGTGCTGGAATTTAAGGTGTGTGCCACAACACCTGGCTCCAGTATTCTGATTCTTTTTTTCAATAGGACAAACATATCTTTATTTATTTTTTAAATTTTTTTAAAAAATTATTTTTATTTTATGTGTATGCGTGTATTACCTGAATGTAGGTAAGTGCACCCATGTAATGCAATGCCCGTGGAGGTCAGAAGAGGTAGTTGGATCCTCTGGAACTGGAGTTATGGACAGTTGTTAGCTGCCATGTGGGTCCTGGGATTCGAATCCAGGTTTTTTGCAAGAACAACCAGTGTTCTTAACCGCTGAGCCATCTCTCCAGGCCCTATTATTATTTTTTTATTATTATTTTATGTGTATGTGTGTGTTGCCTGCATGTAGGTAAGTGCACCCATGTAATGCAATGCCCGTGGAGGTCAGAAGAGGTAGTTGGATCCTCTGGAACTGGAGTTATGGACAGTTGTTAGCTGCCATGTGGGTCCTGGGATTCGAATCCAGGTTTTTTGCAAGAACAACCAGTGTTCTTAACCTCTGAGCCATCTCTCCAGCCCCCAATATTCTGATTCTTAAGATCCAAGTTGTTTTAAATGGAGAAAGGGAAACTACAGAACTAGTGGGATGTAGAGAATTAAAGTTCTGGCAGAAACTAAATGACAGCTGATGGTCACCATGGACAAAGAATGAAATAGCCTCTGACTGTTTTCCCAGGTTCTTGAAGAATGGCAAGGAATAGGAAAGGCAAGAAACTGCAAACTGACAGTAACTGTCAATACCCCCAAGCCTGCTAACTCAGCACTCCCTGCCCTCAACCTGACCTTCCTGTTGTGAATGAATACATGAAATTTCATATTACACAAGCCAAAGGGCTGGGCAGAGAGCTGTGGTTTCCTCCTCTGTGTCCCTAAGGCCTTGCTTGACACATAATGTGCAGTCAATAAATGTTGAATGAATAAATGAGTGTGGTAGAAAAATAATGTGGCATGGGAAGATATCCAATTCCTGAGCTCTGTGATTCTCTTGCAAACTCAGAAATGGCTCTATGAACTGCTAGAGTCAAAGCCAACTGCCACGAGGTGACAGGCACAGAGTGGGTGTGCCTGCTCAGCTCCAGCTGGCCTGGGTGGCACAGGGCCTGGCGGCTTCCATTCCCACCCATCTTGCACCCATGGTGGCCAGACCAGTTCTCTTCATTGGCTCCTCACCTTGTCGTTTTCAGCTTCTACCATCTGCCCTGATGTTCTGTACCTAAATCCCAAGCCTGTCCAACAATACTCCTCCCTACCTCCTTCCATCCCTACCTCTGAACCTCTGTTCATGGAATATTCTCCTCTAACTTGGATGTTCTATTCTGCCCTCTTAATGGCCCAAAAGACCTGTTTATGTGCAGGAGCCTTCTCTGAGGCTTCTGTCTCCAGACAAATTCCTCTTCCCTTAACTGCCTGGACCTAAGTTAAACCATATATCCTTGAATGTGTGCCTGCTAAGACTGCACAAACTATCCCCTAGAACCTCACTAGGGTTCTCCCTGCACTGCAGAGCTTACAGATGGTCAGTAAACACAATGACTTATTGCAGGGTAACTGATAGAGAACTAAGTTTGGTTCTTTGCTTGCCACCTTCCAGGGATTTCACTCATGACAAATGTGTGACACAACATCAAGATGGGGATGCATACTGATATTGTGTGTCTCTCCCTCACTCCTCTCTCTCTTTTTCCTTTCTTTCTCAGACCTAGGTATTGAACTTAGGGCCACTGTATTTCTTGAAAGCTATCCCCGGTTTCATGGATAAGAATAGTAGCTTAGAGAGAAGGAAGCAGCATGTCCATAGTTTCTGAACTAGATCAGAGAGTCCCTAGAATCCGGATCCCAGTGAGGCTTATTGCTTCTCTCTTACTGCTATGATCTTAGATTCTGTGGTCCAACAATAGAGGGAGACACATGGATATAGGGGCCAGCAAGATGGCTCAGTAAGTAAAGATGTTTGCCATCAAACCTGACAACCTGAGTTTGATCACCAGGACCCATGTGGTGGAAGGAGAGAACCAACTCCTAGAAGTTGTCCTCTGACCTTCACATGCACTCTGTCACAAACCCACATGGACAAATAATTAAACATAAATGTAAATATATATTTAAATAAAATTTGATACAGGAAGGTTGCAGACCACTAAGAATGGGCTAAGATCTCTCTCTCTTTACTTCTCCATAACACTTACCAAGGAAATGACACCCTCAGAAGTGATGGCCACTTTCCTGACCAGCAGGTAGTATGCTACCAAACTAGCAGACAGAAGAAAGTCTGACATTCTTTGCTTAAGAAAACAAGATTGGACAGAGGACACAGACTCTGTCCCTCCTCCATAGGACTGTGAGTACTGCTGCTAGTAGGAGCATAACTCAAGACCCACACTCACCCTGAGCAGCCAGTCTCTTACAACTGTGGGGGGCTGCTTGTACTGGGCCACCCTGATTTTACAGACTGAAGCACAGCAAGGCTTTGGCTGATGGACAATATCAAGACAAGTCAGGATCAGATGAGATGCTTCCTACCCTCCAATTCCTTACTGAGACTCCTGGGGGCCTGGCACTGAGCTCTTCCATCTGGATTCTTCAGCTGTGTTGCCAGGTTAAAGAAGGAGATGCTACAGAAACAGCCTCTAGCAACCCAAATGAACTCATATTGCTTCCCAAGCCCCAGCTGATTCCTGATAAGACAAGGATCCTATGACAACTAGGATAGCTTTCCTAAGAACTATAGCTCCTGAGACATACCAAGGCAATGCCCCAAATGGCACTTAGCTAAGAAAAGGATAGGCCCTGGGTTACACACTTACCCCTTTGAGCCAGGCCTCAAAGGAGATATGGCATACAAAGTGATAGCACAGAACTTGGCACAGTGCATGTGCTCAGTAAATGGTTTGTGCTACTATCACCATGACTCAGTATGATTCCAGTCCCTATCTTCTAGGTTCAAGTGAGGAGCTGCTTTTTAGATACCTCCAAGGTACTGAAGCTGGAAGGCCCTTAACCCAGTCCAGGGTTTTCCAGGCAAGAAACCAGAATTTCTGAAAGGTGTCAGGGCTAGAAGCAAGGCTGGCCCCACAGCCTAGGGTCCTCCAAGGTCAGAAGTCTGAGCAGGGCCTCTGCCCCTTGATAGCAGGATGAGCCCCGTGCCTCCCCAGGGGGGAAAAAATCTCTCTGGAGACCAGAGGCCTGGCAGGAAGCCAGAGCAGGATCCTCTCCAAGATGAAGCTGGCTTTGAGCCAAGGTGCATCCCAGAAGCTCCAGCTTGTACAGTGGTAAAGGCTGAGAGGAGGAAGGGCAGCCAGGAGATGGGCAGCTCCCAGTCCTCTTCCCACCAAAGGAACCTGGCCAAAAGCGAGTTTGATACAAACTCAGGACATACAGCTGCCTTTCTTGTTCTGTGGTTTCCACACATCTGGGAGAGTATGAAATCACTACTGGAGAAATGGGTCCCATTCCTGGGACAAATGTTCTGTCAACTCAAGCTATGCCCATACAAACCTGCTGGGGCATTGCTGACTTCATCCAAAGGCTCTTTCTGGATTACTTCTACCATAAATGCTAAAAAATTCAATGTTGCCTGTAGACTCAGGTCACAATTTCCACCTCCAAAGACTGAGGGGTAATCCCAATTTAACAGGCTCTCCCAGGCTATCCTTAAAGCCCTTTCAGGCCCTGAGACTTTTTACCTGTTTTTTTCCACTGAACTATGCATAGACTACTCTGTGGTTAGAGGCCTCTTAGGTGAGATCAAGACAATCAGTTATCAAGTGTCAGGTCTGTAAGAGGTCTCCATTTTCTAGTTTAGAATAGCCACATCTAGCAGAAATGTAAGGGGAGGTCCCTATATAATTTATTTTGACATAGGGTCCCCCTGTTGCCCCAGCTGGCGTGGAACTCCCTTGTAGACCAGGCTGGCCTCAAACTCACAGAGATCCACCTGCTTCTGCCTCCAAAGTGCTGGGATTAAAAGCCTATGATGCCACACCCAGCTCCTTATATTATCTTAAATGTTCTAGAAGCATCATGAACAAGACAGAAGAGCAGGTCATTTTAATAATGTAATTTATATAACCAGACACTATCCTTTATGAGATCAATACTATTCATGTCTGTTCGGTAGCATACTAGATAGGATAGAACAGTTCTTGATTCTAGCAGCCTGTCCCCATTTTCAGATAAGGATATGGCTTGAATATCTATGAAGAAGGCACTAGGGTAGAAGGGAAAGCCCCAGACTCCATTCCTACAGCTGGGCCTACCAGCCTTCCTTTTCAGATTCCAGATGCATAACCATGGCCTATTAGATGATGACTGTATGATCAATCAAGTGTAGGGAGAGTACAGCATAAACCTATTTGAAATAGACAACCCAAAAAGGATTAGAAATAGATATATTTGATGATTCAAGGCTGAGGAACAAAAACAACAGAAAGGAACTGGAGGGAGGCTCTAGGAGACCTCTGTGCCAGACCCTAGATTGTTGAGGACCTCCATTTGTACCATCCTGCTTAGAGCCACCTGGCTCCCATGTCAATATCCAAGCTCCAGCATAGGGTCTGGTGAATTTTCCACCACGTCTTCCTAGAAGAACTACCCACAAAAGCTCCTCTCTGCTTTAGAAGGCAAGAACAAGTCGTGCATTTACCCACTGCCTCTAGTCTTCTTACTCTGAGTCGCCATGCCAACACACAGTCATAATTACCAAGGAACGCGTCAATAGTGGCAGCATTGACAAAGACACTATATCAGGGCCTGTGAGCTAAGCAAGGTCAGGCTCCTCACAGCCCCCCAGCTTCCTGCCCACTTCCTTTATTCCATCAGCTCCATCTCTTTCCCTTCATTCTTTCTCTCCCACCCAGATGGTCTCCGATTTTATTTTCTCTGCAGAGAAAGGAACTATAGCTCAGTGTATAAAACACTTTTTATAGCAATTAGAAGACAGGTTCCCTTTGAGTCCTGATTTTTAACTTGTGGGAAAACGTCACTTTAACAACCAAGCTTCAGGGGTTTTTGCTGTGAATGGGGGAGAACATTTCTGGACATTGCCTATTCAGCAAGGGAGTACCTGCATTTAATTTGCCTTCTAAATTCAGAGGCTGATAAAGTGTCATCTAGTCATCTCCAAAACGGTCTTTATGATCAACAGCAGAGGTATCAGAAGCTCAAGAAAACAAAGGAAGGTTCAGATCAGAGAGTGAGTTAGTTCTAATGCCTGGGAACTGCAGGGCTATGTCCGCCCCCCGCCCCAGAAGAGTGAAAATCTCAGAAAAGGAGCTAGGAGCAGAAGAATGGTGGCCTCTAGCAGATTATGAAAAGATGAGCGGGATGGACGAGAACTATCAGGCTAAATGACAAGCATCCTGAGGCCTCCAGTGAGAAACAGGACATGCACCCATTTAAAATGAGAGGTCAGAAAAAGAAGGCAGACAGCCATCACTGGAGCCCTACACAAGAGCGCCCCAATTTCAGAACACCCAGTGCACCAACATCTGAACTTACAAAGGAGATAAATTGGAGGCTGATGATTAGCATCACAAAATGATTATTCCCTTTGTAAAAGGCTTCACTGCAGGACTGCTTTAAATAGTGCATTTAAACCATGATCTGATTTGCTAAATTCGATTTATACACATCTACTGCCTAAGCTGGCGTGCGGCTGTATTTACATGTCTTCCCTTGGCATAGAGGAGGGGAGAAGCCAGCCATTATTTGGGGCCTTTAATCCTTGTAGATAGTAACTAATCTGGGGAGCTGAACCCTGTTTTCTTCTGCAGCTGGGGCTTTAGCTGCAAACTGGTCCCAGTTCTGCTGCTTTGCCCATGACCCTGCTCAAAGACAAAACAGGATTGGGACCAGATGTGTTGGAGTTTTCTGGAAATAGGAGCTCCCTACCAAGAAGCACCCCCCCCCCACGCCACATTCAGGGGTGATGCTTCTTTGATACAGATTTCCAGGGAATTTGGTCTGTAACAGGGCCACTGAACTATTTTGCACCTACAGTCATCAGGCCAAGGATTCAAAGCCTACATTTTGGAGGCCACTGAAATTTACTAACCTGAGCTCCAATCTGTAATTTGTACTTAAGCTATGAGAATCAAACCTGGGCAAGGAAAAGAGGCTAGCTCTCTACCAAAGGAAGATAAAAAATAGGTCTGCCAGGTCTCATAGCACAATGAGGAAACCTTCCTTGGTTTACCTAAAGGGATTTGTTGATCTTATTGACAACAAGGTCCCCTGAAAGACAAATGACACTTTCCTGTGAGATCCAGTACTATGTGACAAGGCAGGTAGGAATTAGACCTCATCCTAAAGGAGACATCTACTGCTCAGCTCATACCATTTGCTGAGAGAAGAGATATTAATAGGCTCAGGAGTTTACCCCTAAAAAACAAAGTACCCCGAGAAAATTGAAGTCAGGGCCTCTACCTCCACCTTCATCTCAGTACCAGAGGTTTAATTTCAGGTCTCACCAAATATTTACAGATATACCCATAATAAATCCATCTCAGCACTGGGAACCATGGGAAAGAGGCAGCACCCAATTCTAAGAACTTTATAGTAGGAATGAGAGGTTGTTAGGCCACAATTAAATTATCTCCCTGTTGAGAAGTCCACTAAAGCCTAGATACAAGACAATGGGGGCTGGACTGGGAGTCAGGATTCCTGGTCCCAGTCCTTGCTCTACTAACTTAATGACCCTGAGGAAAATCACTGAAGTTCTTTGAGTTCAGTTCCCCATCTGTGACAAACGCAAGTAACCTACATATTCACCATGCTTCATACGTACTTTTCCAGTACTAGGTATTGAACCACTAGTACTAGGCAAGAGCTCTATCACTGCGCTACATCCCCAGGCCATAAACCTTTAAATTTTATATAAATTATATGTAAAAGAAAAAAGTTTATCTCTAGCAAAACCTGATGAACTTCCTTTTTGAGCAAGGTTATAAAGCCATCATGTTTTCTTTGTCTTGGCTGCCAGGAAGCTCAACAGTCAATCATAAATTCTATTTTAGGTCAGGGCTTCAGGGTAGAGACTGAGGTATGGCAAGAGATCCCTCAAACGTGAGGTAGAAATGAGTAGGACTTGGGTTCAGGAAAGGTGTTTGTTTGAAAGAGATCAGACGAAATAAATCTTTGTGTTTGCATTTATGTGTGTGCACTTGAAGAGACTAAAGAACCAAGGCTTCAGGCTAACATCGCTCAGTCTACACACTACCTGTGGCAAAAGTCATCAAAAGGAAATCATCACCCTATCTATTTGGGGAGATCCAAATTCACGTGAAGTGCTTAGACCTGGCACACAGCAGAATTCAGTGAACACAAACTGATAACTCAAGTTTCTTGGTGACCCTGTACACAACAGGTGTAGGATCTGTTTTAGAGCACCCATGACTCTAGGAGGGCAGCTAGATTGTGCTTATTCACCCACATGGAATAGAAGCACAGGGGGCAGAAAACCAGTTCTGACTCAGGCTAACTAATAAGGTGGAGAGAGCAAGCCCAGGGATGCTGTTTCATGACTCCAGCCCTCCACCTCCATCCTCAGTCTGACTCACAGCCCAGCCTGGATGGTGAGAATGGGGTCTCTGGATCTGTCCTCAGCCCCAACCACATCCTTACAAAGAGACCCTCACTCAGCGTCGAGGGGGCCCTAAGCTTTCCCATGACCTCAAAGATGACACCAAGGCCCATCTCAGGTTCAAGAAAACGCAGGCGCTTTCCCACACATCTCTACCATTGCTTGGAAACAACTCTCCAAGGGCTCTCGGTTCCAAACTAAAACGCAGCCGTTGTTCTTTGGCTGGGCCTGCACCTCAGCCAGGCGGCAGGGGAAGCTGTTGCCTCTCGCCTCCTAGGCCGCTTTCTCGGAGACAGGGCCGCAGTGGGCCCGTTTGGCCTCGGCTCACAGATGCCTGGGAGACAGCGAATACCTGTGGAGTCGCGCGGCAAGCGGCTTCAGGGACGCCTCCGCGCGGGACCGCTGGCTGCGCGCGCCGCTTCCGTGGGCTGCGGGTCCGGGTGGCGCGAGGGGAGGCTCAGCAGCCTCTGCGACGCCCCGACCTACCTCAGGCCCACGCAGCCATCTTGCTGCCTCTGGTTCGCTCTCAAAATGGCCTCCCGGAGCCGCAGCGCAAAGGCGAGGGGAAGCCGCCCGGCCTCCTGCTCTCCTCTTGTCTGGGTGGGCCCGCCAGCCCCGGCCGTCCAGAGTGCCGGCCGGACGCGGTAGCCTCGCCGCCGGCGTTCAAAACAGGCTCGCGCACTTCGAAGGCCTGCGAACACCACGTGTGAGTGCGGATCCGACATCTCCGCCTCGGATACAGCCAAGCCCGGCACTCCCGCTTCCGCAGCCGGGAGAGGGAGGTCTCCGGGCTCAGTCTCCGCAGTGCGGTCAGCCGGACCCCGGGCAGGTGGGAGGTGGCAGCGCCTTTCCCGGCTCCCGCTGGGCCCCGGTCGGGGAGAGCCAGTGTCCCTGAAGCCAGCTCGGCTCGGCCGACCGAGCATTCCACACCCAGGTCTGCGGGATGGCATTGCAAAGCACAAGTAGTATTATTAAGGCCATCTCACAGTTGGGGATGACACTGGATCCCGGCCTGGGGGAGGAGGGGTGCCTTTCAGATGATCCAGGTGAAGAACAGTCGCCTAACCAACGTGATGCAAGAATCTTCCTACGTCCCAAGTAGTCTGCCCGTCGGCTTTCTGAGATCCTGCGAAGTGGGGTAGGGGCGCAGACAGCGGGGTCCTCCTTGCCGACCCCAGCTCTGGCCACTCACCTCTCCTGTGCTGATTTCTCCTTGGAGCAGGTGCGGACGGCGATTTTGAGCCGGGGTAGGGAGCGCAGGCGGAAACCACCGGAGGCTGGGGTACCTGCAGGAGGGCAGCTGTAATAAGGAGCAGAGACGTCAGCACCCTGGAAACACCGCCCGATTTTGAAGCCTCAGTGTTTCATGGCATTAGCCTGGAAGTGGGGACCTGTAAGTCCTCCAGGAGGAGAATCCTGATCCCCCTTTTCAGCCTCAACCACGCCTGCCCAGGACGGGGGTGGGGGGTGGGGGGAGTTGGGACCAGACACCAGGGTGGAGTATCTGGAGCCTCCATGGGTGCGGCTGTGGGTTCCCTCTGGGAATGCAGGCCCAGGAGGCGGGACGCCTGGATGCGCATCGAAGAAAGCCTGCCCTCAACCACATCCAAGTCACAGCCCTGGCTTTCTACAAAGGTACCATTAGTGAGTCATGTCATGAGACTTGGACTCCAGGCAGTTTTCGGTTTTCCGAAATGGACAGTTAGGTACAGAGCTAACAAGGAGCTCCTGGCGGTGCCACCTTGGCTTTCAGCCCTAGCCTTCCTTGCTAGGCAAGCCAATGCTGCGGATCCTATCCGAATCCACTTACTTCAAATCTCTAAGCCAGCCAAGCTTAGAATTTATATGTCTCTCCCAAAAACTAGGGGTTCTCTGAGGTTCTGATTTTCTGTTTGGACTCAGAGGGTATGGTACTAGATGGGGGAGGTAGGTAGCCCGGTGGGCCCTTCCGTGATGCTTGGACATCTATTGGGGTTTTCATTCTTTCTTTACCAGGTGGAGATTTGAACTTCAGACCCAGATATCTGTGCACCCCCTGCCACTTGACCACTGTCTATTGTGTGCCAGGCACTTTATTTGTATCTTTTACTTTTTTTTTTTTGTAGTTTTTGAGATGGGGGTGGGGAGGGTGGGGGGAGTGTCTCCCTGTAGCCCCAGCTGGCCTGGAACTCACTATGTAGACCAGGCAGACCTTGAACTCACAGAGATCCGCCTGCCTCTGCCTCCCCAGTGCTGGGACCAAAGGTGTGGGCCACCACACTGGCTTTTTTGTATCTTTTACTTAATTCTAACTGACCCCTGGAGATATAGGTACTGTTGTCCTCATTTCACCCAGAGAGGTGAATGTGACACTTGAGTTGGAAAGGGCAAAGTCCAGGAAAGACTCCTGCCTCACAAGTGGACACAGTTCCTTCCCCCATCTGCTCAGCTTTTCTAAAATTTGGAATGTGCACTTTTTTAACCTGGTGGATGGTTCTGGGTCTTTTACCCTAGTGCTTCAAAGCAGGAATTATCACCCCAAGAGCAGAAAAGGCCACACAAGCAAGCCAACCCAGGGAATTTCTGCAGCCTTGCCAGGCTCCACTCTTCTTTAGTGTAGGTTCAAAACTTTGAGGGAACCTAGAGAAGCCCCACACTGTCCAATAATCCATGCAGTCTATACTGGTATCATTATCAGGGAAATCCAAACAGGAGAGAATGAGATGCATTGGCATCAGCGCTTGATATTCTTGTACACAGCCCCAAGTGGACCTGAGGGGATCTGGGAACTGAAAAGAGCATTCCTGGAACTGCCCTTCTCTACTTGCCAGCATTTTCAAGCAAGTAGCTTTCCCAAGCTCCATTCTGAGGTACTTTTTCTTTAAATGACATGATTGTGATGTTAATGCCTCCCCCCATGAAACCTTTCATAAGAGACAAAAAAAATTGTATCTGCTGAACCTGGGATTAAATATTTAAAATGAAAAAAAAAAAAGCTTTTTCAGCTGAGGGTAAAGGATATATGACCCTCACCCGAGGCTTCCTGGACAGCAAAGATGACAGCTGTAGGGTGAAAGATGAGTGGGTATGACCAGACTAGATTTGAGAGACATCACTGATATCAAGAATAAGGGTAATAATGAGAAGGGATTAGAGCCACACTTTCCAGAAGGAAGAAGTCTTACTGAAGAATCCCAGATGGATGGAGTACCACCAGCCTACCCTGGAGGATGGCAGTGGTACCCAAACTTCATCTAGCTTATAATGCAACTCTACCTCAACAAGAGGGAGAAGACCTGAGAACACCACCCTGCGCATTTCTACAACATAAAGAACAGAGATTTGACCTAAGCCAGAAGAAAGCAGTTCTCACAGTACCTCTAATTCATGGAGGAACAGAAACTAGGTTGCAAGCTGGGGTGGGGGCAGTGAGGCTGACCAGTAAGGGGCTCTAGTGCATGCACAGATGGAAGCTGAAGAGAAGGTCTAATTAGCACAAAGCCAGCACCTTCCATTAATAGCTCACCACCAGCTCCTGGATGCCGCTGAAGGCAGTCAAGTTGGAATGTGTGAGGCTCACCTGTCCCCAGCTCATTAACGGACCTAGGGTGAGAACAGGGCTCTCCTGTGGGAGGACCAGCCCAAACCAGCCCTCTACCCCCAATCTAATTACAGGTCTGACTTCTAGGCCCATCTGGGGGAAAGTGTTTAACGTAAGTCCAATATTCCTGGACACACACTCAGCCAGGCCTCCAAGGACAGTGTCCTCCCACCAAACTTGAAATAAGTGTTGGCATACATTCCATTTCTATGAAACCCTAGATAGGTAAAACAGACAGTAAGAGACCCCAAAAAGCTGGGGAGGGGGTTGTCGGTGGTGTGGGACAGCCAGACTGGGAAGAAGCAGGAGATAAGTTTCTAAAGACTGGGATGTGCTATCTTGGGTGTAAATGTGTTTGTCAGAACCATAGAACTGTACTTCTAGATGATAATCATGCCTTTAGGAATATTATCTATCTATCTATCTATCTATCTATATATATAT